TCGTTAAGCAAGTGAGGCTCTAACCCCATCACAAACCGGTGCACCCGATCCTCCATCTTATATACAATAGTGGGAGCATACCTAGCCAACGAAGCAAACTGAAGCATGTACTCCCGAACACTCCATGTTACCCTGCCGAAGGTTCAAGAACCTATCAACTCTGGCCTGTCTAAGCTCTGGTGACAGATAATGACGAAGAAAAGCTTTTGTAAACTTCTTCCATACCGCTAGAGAGGCATCCTCACCTCTAGACAATTTCAAAGACTCATACCAATTAACTACAACATCTCGGAGTCTATAAGAAGCTAGCTCAACTGACTCAGTCATAGTGGCCTTCATTACCCATAACGTCCTTTGCACTCTATTAATAAATACCTGAGGCTCCTCGTTTGGATTTGCTCCAATGAATATCGAAGGGTCTAAATTAATAAAGTCACGAACCCTCTCACTCACGGACCTATTTACATGACCAATACCTACTTCCTAATGTCGAGCCTGTGCGACTACTAATCAGGTCAATAACTGAATAGTATCTCTCATCTCCTGACCCGGTGCATCCGGTTGAGGTGCTGAATGTACAGGGGCGGGCGCTAGAGCTGGAACCCCTCGGAGCTCTTCTAGAAAGGGCGGGGTATGTGAAGTCTGAGATGGAACCTCACTATGAGACTCTTCCCGAGCCCTAGTAACTCGTGGCACTCGACTAGTAGTCTCATGAACCACGAACTTTCCCTGTTGGGCTGCTGTACTCTTTGGAGGCATCGCTGAAAATATAGCATATTGTTAGGAACATGAATTCGTGTATCGTACGATCTGAGATAAAAAGAGATGATAACATCATATATGTCCTGTAGCCTCCTGTTTATAAGTGTAGTGCACAACACACCCATAAACAAGATTCTATTAGACACGGTCTGTAGACAACCCTAGGACAGAACTGCTCTGATACCACTTTTGTCACGACCCAAACCGATGGGCCGCGACGGGTGCCTGAGTCCTACCTGTCAAACACCCCTAAGCATGCATCTAATATATGAACCTGAATAACACTGTTGTATTACGAAAATAACATACGTGAAGGAAACCTGCCATCAAGGCATATGTATGTATACATGCAGAATACAGTGGGCGAGCCGACAAGGCCAAATACAACCCAACTAGACATATTCTCCACAGACCTCNCATGGAATATAGAAACACATCTTTAAATCTGAATAACTTTGTAAATTCTAAAACGTTTATAACGCCATGCACATGCATATAAATGCCATGTCATGCATAGGTATGGGTGTACATAATATCATCAAGCCACTGAGGGCATCCCATCATATCGTCTCGGCCACTGTGGGCAACATCATCAACATATACCAGTTGATCAGGTGGTGGTGCGTATATAACACTGTAACCTTTTCGCATATCCCATATACATATATTTACATATATACGCGTATATAACGCCATCTGGTCATGGGTCAATGCACATGTATAAATGAGTGATATGCATGAAAAATACATAATAATCTTGATATTCCTTCCGGATAAACTTTTCCAACTGCGTATTATTATGAGACCCATGAACAGAAGATAATAATAATTCTCATGGGGAATCAAGAATATAGACACCCCTACTATTTCTATGAATAGAGTAATTTATGGAAACTGTGTGTTTGCTCGTTTCTTCAGTATCATATGGACCATGCCAAAAGAAAGAAGGGAGGGCCTTAACATACCTGTTTCTGGAATTATTTGAACGGAATGAAGCTTCTGCTTTTGTGAAATATGTTTAACGAAATTCTTCTTGAATCTCTTGAAATTTTGAAACGAATTTGTGGTTGTTCTTTGAAATTTCAATCGTAATTTTAGCAAGAATTTGGACGAAATGTTTTCTGTTTCAAGGTTCTTGGTTTCAAGCCAAAGATATGAATTGAAGCTAAAGACAGAATGGATAAGATTTTCCAAGTCTTTCTAAGGCTTAATCTTTAAGTCATGATGTTATTCAAAGGTAGCCACCTAGAATTATGACTACTTAGTCATTTTCTAGGTTTGTGGCTTCTTGCCACGTTTGGTGGGAGGGTTAATTTATTATTTTTTTATCCACTAATTAGTTAACTGGGTAATATCCTGTTACCCGATAATTAATAAATTACCACAAATTACTTAAATTTTATTTATTTTTAAAATACTTTATATATTATACTACTGTGGTCATATGGTACCCTGTATGGTACTAATTCATAATTACCGGGTATTATCGTTCGACCAGTATTTTATTCCAAATTGACCACTTTCAACGAAACTCATTTTCTTTAATCCGTGTACCCCTTTATCCTTCATAACACTTATTTATCGCTTGTTATAAATAGCGTAAGTACGTTAACATCAAGATAATCTCATCCCCGAGTCTATGTCGGTTAACTGAAAATAAAATTTTAACGTACGAAAATGCGAGATGTAATAGAAGTACTACGACTAAAACAATTTTTAATACTTTCATAGTTCCCATCAAAGTTACTATAATACATATCAACAGCAAACTTGAATTCCTAAATTTCATAATTAGGGTTCATCAAATTGGGAGAAAACTTTAATCTTTATGGACAATCATTTGTTCCAAAACCTTGTGCTCTTGATACCACAAGTAAGGATTTTTAATGTTCTAGATTGTGGTGCATAAACAATCGATATAAAATCTTATTAATTATTTAGAACCGTGCAACTATATAATTTTCACATAAAATACATATACAATAATTTCAATCAAGAAAACTTACCTGAATCCATAATGTGTTTTCTTGATAATATTGAGCGGAAGCCTTCTTCAGAGTTGATGTTCTTGAGAAAATAAGTACTTCTCTCTCTTTACTTTTTTTTATGTTCTTTTTAGAATAGAGTGTGATAAAGATACGCTATTCTTCTTTTAATAGGCAGAGAGAGGGACCATTGATTAATTCCCACTTTTCATTAAAGTAGGTTAATGGGGAGTTATAATCATAATTAACTTCCCATAATTTTATTCATATACTAATTTAACAAAATATATTTATTAAACCAAAATATTTCATAAGCCACATGTGGGACATTTTATATGGATAAGAAGCACTAATTCAAGATATGACCGTTGCAGAAATGTTACAAAAGACACCAAGATTCATCCCGTCATTATTAGCTTTTATTGGGCTTTATTACCCTTTAATATTATTTTTTTTATATTGGTAATTAATTGGTAGATCCTACACTCATAGCTCTAGTATAAATAGAGACTTACATTCCGTTGTAAGTGGAAGAAAGACTAATAGCAAAAATCTAGTATTCCCTCTCTGAAGCTTTATACAAGTGTTGTCAAGGTTTTTCATTTATTCTTAATCCTGGTGGGAACATTCCAAACTCCGGGCTTGTCTTTTCTCCAATTGTTCTTATTTTATTCGCTTGTGCTATTCTTTACTTTATTTTATCGGATCAATTTAATCACGTATCTATATAAACCACGATACAAATTCAACTGTACCGTTTTTCCGGTAAACAAGCGTGTGGAGGAGAGGATGGTAAGTTGTGATGGCTACTGTTGTGACAGTTATATAGCTTGTTTGGCCAAGCTTTTGTGAAGCCAAAAGTGCTTATTTTTTCAAAAAAAAATAATAATATTTTTTAGAGCCGAGGTGTTTGGCCAATCTTTTAGGACAAAAATAAGTGTTGTTTAGTAACAAAAACTCTTTTTCATAAGCTAAACAAAAAGTAATTTCTCCCTAAAAGTACTTTTTGAACCTTGGCCAAGCACAAATTGTTGCTCCAATATTGGCAAAAGCGCTTTTCAAATTGATTAGCTAAACACAAATAATTTTTCTTTAAAAATACTTTTAAAAAAAATATTTCTGACAAAAAAATACTTTCCAAAATAAGCAACTTTTGAAAGTTTGGCCAAAATAACAGGTTGATTAATTTACAAAACATAATAGTCGAACGAGACATTTGTGTTTCTCAACAAAAGGATGCTCATTAAACAACCCTCAAGCAAGCAGATCAATCTTTTACAACAACCTGCTCTGATTATATCTAGACAAATAGAAGTCAGCTGACGAGCAATGACACAAAATGCACGTCGTGCATGGTGAAAAAATATGGCTATGTATATTTTTAGACAAACCAGTTACACTAAGACCGGCAATAAACACCCATGGATTCGGAAAAAAGGATCAAACACTCTTTTCATCAGTCACCACTTGAAGCAACTTGTTCGGAAAAAAATATTGAGTGTGGATTATGTAAAGAGGGGTTTACTTACTGACTCAACTTTAAAATAGGCATCACGCGTTCATCAAAAAATATACGACATGCAATATGCCAGGATGGATAGGGGTTTTTAAAAATTATACCCGGAACGAATTGAAGTGCCTATCTAGTCACTAAGTAAGTTTATGTCTATCTTACAAAAGATGCCAAGTTTAAGGGGTTATCTAGGTATTTGGCCAACGAAAAGGATACCGCATTTACTCGCATTACTGCTTTATAGCTTTCTTAACTTGTAGCCCAGCATAATGCTAGTCTAAATCCGCTCTATCAACTATTCTACCGGGTAGTTGTGAGCTTGTGCGCATATCCAACTGTTCTAATGAGAACCTGTTACTTTTTACCGACACAAGTACTAATGTTTTTTGTCAATCGGAATTTGAACTCTGATCTCCAAGATTTACACAAACATCAGTGACCACTAGGCCATACCCTTGGGTGCAAATGGTTAAGCTAATTCTAAGATCCGATCCAACTTTTCAGCCACAAAATATCCATGTTAATGGATAGCTGATCCAGTTATTACCTGCTCACATCTTGGCCACTTTGAACATAGTAAAAAACACCGCTAACAACATTATCTGGGAGCTCATTCCACTGAATATTTTCAGATGTTATTCTCAAACAGAAAATAACTTGTCACATACCATGCTATCAACAACTAACAGCCCCAATTTAGCCAAAACAATTAATAAAACAAATTCAGGAACTGCAGTAAGAATGTTAAAGACCAAAAAGAGTTGACATTTTATATAGCATATTTAGCCGTCACAGTAATTAGAACCCCATATAATACATCACCATCTGCCTGGGGTATCTATAGAATCAAAACTTGTTCAGAATTTCAAAAATAGAGTACAGTTGCTCCATCAGTGGACCTCAAGAAAAACCAGGAGCAAAAGAGTCTGCAAATCAAGATGGTTTTGCCACTTCAGTTTTTTCATAGATACGCTGAAGCTCACGACTAGCAGCTTGATAGGAAGCTGTATACAAGATGAAAAAATGAGTGTTAAAATAGAATAGTAGTAGAGGTGGTAAAATTGGTTAATGAGTGAAATAGGTAACACAGGACACATCGGCTAATTAAACGGGTCTAGCTATAAATGGGGGGAAATAAGAGCAGCTTTCACATACTTATCCAAACCCGTTAGAACACGTGATTACTTTTGTCATACATTTATCACACACTAATCCATTTTACCACCTCAAACTAGAAGGAATAAACAAGTAAAAGAAAAATGTGTCTTGCACTTATGGAGAAACAGAGTATTCACCTTTCCAAGTTTGGAAATTTTTCTGGTTGATAGGAGAACCAGTGATATTTTGAATTGCTTCAAACAGCTTTTCCTGAGGGGTATTCTTTAACTCCTGGACCACGGCATAAATTGTCTTCCCATTCTCGAAGTAAATATGATTGTTAGGATGTTTGGTCTTGCAAGCAGCATGACGCTCAAATTCAAAAGCATTTAGATTCTGCGTAAAAAACATTAATGCCCCCTTAGACATGAAATTTTGAGGAAGCATCTTGGCTGAATTGCCGAAAACATATAATAGAACACTAAAAGTTCTTGCCTTGGACAGCTTGCAGTCATTGCAGCCACACAAGTAACCAGTCCCTTTAATAATTCCTCGAACAGTTTTCTGCATGTATGCATGTAAAAGATACTCAGAACAAAAACCTCTAAACATCACTGAAGAATTCAAAATCAAAACGTACCTCTCTTGACCACGAGACATACTTCACCGGCACTCCATCAAGCATACCAGTTGACAATAGACTTTTAACATTGGATGGGAAATTGTTCGGGGAACTCTTAGGTGTCTTCTGCGCCTTCTGCTTGGACATGTTTTCTGTTCTGACAGTAGTTTCTGGAGCAACAATCTCAATTTGATCTGCAGAGTGCTCCACTGTACTTCTCTCTGTCAGTGATTCTGAAGCTTCAAGAGAGGATTCACTTATCAACATATCATAGCTGCTGATGACCTTGTCAGAAGGATTATTTCCTCCATGCTCTTGCTGAATCTCCCCAAAAGATATGGTGGCTCTTTCACCCTTACTCATTGATATGAAGCTTGAATTTTCTTTGCTGCAAGTACCAGTTGATATGACAGCTTCTACCACTTTATCAGGAGTTGGGCACCTAAAGGCAACACCAATCTCTGCATTACCAGTCAGACCCACAGGCATGAAGTTTTCATTAGCTTTACTATAAGAAGGGAACATAGAAATGAAATTCTCATGCACCTTGCCATAAGATGGTATTGGTGTGAAATTTCCATTTTCCATGAATGGCTGATTTGCTGTTCTGTAATAGCCGTTTCCTTTGTCAAATGATTGATCCATAAGATACAGACTGCAGTCACCCCTGCCGTACTGATGACCCATTAGCATGCGATTTCCATTCACCTTGTTGACTGTATTGCCTATAGGAGTGGCGGTTTGTTCGCCCTCTGCGAAGTCGTGCCCCATTGAAATGACATTTCCAATTCCAGCACTATATGTTAGTCCTACAGCTGTAGCATTTATGCTATCTTCTCCAATATTTGAAGAGTTCCGCAAAGAAAAAGGATAACCACTTGTATATTCATTTGCAAGATTGACCCTGGCTTCTCTAGTTCCAGCATTCTGATAAACAGGATCTTCCCCAGCATAAGACATTGATAAACTCACAGTTGAATTATTTTGAAGAAGATTCATGAAACGGTTTCTTTCTGTTGTCACATTTTCATTGCCTGAAGAGAAGACGTTTGTATCGCCAAAGCTGAATGTGCCTAGAGGCTCAGGTGCACGTGATCGATCACTAGAATGAAGTGGGGCAGACTGAGAATTAAATGCATTACCCCAGAAGGAAAAGTTCAGACTTGCAGGTGTTGAAATTGGTTTATCGCTGACAGACTGCAGAGCTTGTTTCTTATTGGAGAATAACTCCCCTTCAGAAGCATCCATAAAAAATTGATGAGCACGCTTCTGTTCAATCCTCAACGAAGTCTCGCCGCCCATCTCTCCATCAGTTAGAGGACCATTGTCTTTTAGCACCCAAAGGCCCTTATTCTGTAAAGACTGGGAAGATCACATAACAATTGTCAACGAGAGGAAAAGAAATAATTCAGGTTGTAATAGTAAAAGCAACCTGGAAGGGAAATGAGTACGAAGCAATTTGGAAGGGAAATGACCAACTTCAGGATAAATAATGAGCATATGATAGTCATATGCAGAAGGCCTAATCGATATGCATGAGTTTGTTTTCTTTAACTTCTATATTTGTTTGGGAGGAAAATAGATTACCTAAAAGAGAAAGGTCGCTAGCAAAGTCAGTTGTAACTATTTAAAAGATGGGAAAAGGGTCGAAAATACGCCTGCACTTATGAAATTGCTCATGTTTACCACTTTTATAGTTGGGTCTATTCAAACCACCCCACCCTCACCCCCACCCCAAAAGAAGAAAATCTCAATTTTTCCTTCCCGCATAACGATCCTCCAGCTGAATTTTTTAATTCGCTTTTGCTGATGTGTCCGTCAATGTGGATACTTCTGTCCCCTTTATTAATTTCTGCTTATCTTCTTCGTAAATTAGGTCTCCGGTCAACTCTTCCAAGTTGGAGTTCTCCATCAATTAATTTCCTTTCCCTTTCTTCTTCTTTTGAAAGTTAGGATTTAGGGTTGAAATAATTTTTCAATGTCTGAAGGAGTGTGTTACTACGTGAAATCCATGCCAACGTGAAATCTGGTATGCCAGGAGATGCCATTTTGGTAAAGAAAATGCCTTAGACAACTCCATTATCTATCTCAACAATCAGATAACCCCCCGCCAAAATATGATTGGAAACCCCTTCAACCAAAGAGTACTCTGGCGACTCCACTTACCACCAATCCAAATAATCATCCCAAGCCGAAACAGGAAATATGTGGATCGAGATCTCACTAACCGACAACTCAAACAAGAGAATTTTTATCCAAAATTCTCAACTCCGAGAAAGGAAAAGCCAATCTGCACTCAGGCAGAACATTCGATTCGAATCATCCTTAGCGGAGGAGCTCAGCGCCATTTGTAAAAATCTTGAGAAGCTAAGAATCGATAGAGAGAAGACGGAGAAGATGCTCAAGGAAAGGAATCTGCTGCTGGATTTGCAGATAAAAGAGATGCTAAACAAAGGGGAGCTGCAAAAACAGCTTGAGCTTGAAGTTGATCGTTTTTTCCAATTGAAAAAGTTCAGATTATCCAACACGGTAACTCTATTTTTGTTCTGATTGCTTTCAATAGATTTTATTTTGATCAAAACTGGGAAGAATTTTTTTTTCAAATCTTTGTTTGAAATAAAAACAAGTAAATTTCAGAGATTAAATTAAGTCTCAAAGGAAAAAGACTTGTTTAAGCAAATCATTTGACAAGCTCTTGGCATACGGGATTTGAGGTGCTGACACATGTCCTTCAGATATTGAAGAAAACTCAGCGCTAAACCCTTACTTTCAAACGAAGAAGGGAGATGAAATTAATTGATGAAAAACCCTTATCTGGAAGTGTTGGCCAGAACGATATTGATGAAAAAAGGGAAGGTGAAATTAATAGAGGAGATAAGTGTCCACATTGGCAGATGCATCAGCAAAAAGTGAATAAAAACAACTGGAAGATCATTAATTGGAAAGGGTCTAATTGAGACTTTTTCCTATCAGCAGGGGTTTGGATAGACCCCAAGTATAATGGAGGATAAACTTGAGCAAGTTTTTATAGCACATCGGTATTTATGACCCTTCTTCCTTAAACTATATACATTAAAAGTCTAGGTAATCCTCAGCTGCTGTCTTTTGGAAATTAAAGCTAAAGACCAGTTCAAAGAATCTGATCAGGAATGCAACCTGATATATTAATAGGTTATTAAGTCACAATACGTCCTACTTGGCAAGTCGAAGACAATAGGTATAGTACTTTCAAAAAGGAAAAGCAGGAAAAAGTTATTGTAGAGACCACTTAAGGTAAATGGGCAAAAATATAGCTATGAAGTACGCCTACGGGTAATTTGAATACAATACCAATCTGACATACACATTTTTGTATTATTAGCATGATATTATTGCATTTATATCCAGAAGAATGGCTATTACTTGTTTTTTTTTCTTTTGATAAGTAAATGGCTATTACTTGTTTAACAAAACAAGTGTCTTCATTAATGCATCCCTGGCATAAAATTACGGATGTTGGTAACAAGATTATGTTAGTTTTGCTCCTTTCCCTATACGTTTGAGAAACATGCATGCATTTCATGACTAATAAGGCACTCCTTTAGTTATCTTTCCTAATTTCCCTTCCCATCTTGAATATTGGAGCATTATTTGAAAAGCTTTAGACTGACTTATCAAAAAACCTGAATGGAAACAGCCTGCAATAGCACTTAAAACTTTCTCTGAAAAATAAAATTCCTAATTGGGAAAAGGAAAAAAATCTAAACACAAATGGCTAGATACGAGGAATAAAGCTACCTGCTTTGAATATTGAACCAACTAAATTCTAGTACACTAAATATATCACGGATATAGAAATAGTTACCGGAAAGGGAGCGAGAAGATAAATGCATCTANAGAAATAGTTACCAGAAAGAGAGCGAGAAGATAAATGCATCTCATCAGGTGCATCTGCTGACTGAACAAATATATATCGAACAAACAAGATGAGATCAATGAAGTACCCTCTACAAGTCAAGGAGGAGTCAAAATGTATCCTGTCTCAGAATGCAGAACGGAATACCAGTAATGCAACCTTTTGGTTCGAACAACTGGCCTCAATTAATTTTATACAGCATGAACCAACAATTCTTCAACATGAAAAAGATTAATCTTTTACAAAAATGTTAAAAAAAAAAAAAAAAAAAAAACAAACATCGTAGCATGCTTTGAAATTGAAATGCAAGAAAGAATTACTGCCAAATTTAACTGGAATGCGAGAAACATAAAAATAATAGTCTTACAACGGTTAAAAATTGTCTAGTGCTACAGAATCTGCATAAATGCTGAAATAATTCAAATCGAAAACTTTACCATTTCCAAGTATTTCAAATGTAGTCCTCCGATTTGACGTACAGATAACTCCAATTCAGAATAGCAGCTACCCAGCTCTACCAATGCTACAATCTCTCCATTACCTTTAGAACGGCATTCCAACTTCAAAAGCAAAGCCAAGAATGAAAATAAAATAATTAGAAAACAAACGAGAGAATAAATTCAACACTAGACCAAATATAATTGGAAAAAAAAAACTGATAATTAAAAAACACAAAATTACAATTCACACTCTCAATTTGAAAACTCAACAATGGTAGATTAAATCAAACAGAATACCAAAAATATTGAAGATAAAAAGTAAATAAATAATCTGTTACTTCTCAGGTAGATGTGCTATGTTCAACATCACCTCGCTACCATTGACAAAATGAAAATTCACCTGCAGGGAGGACTTGTTGTAGGTGTAGAATAAATAAACAAAAATGTTTATTCCTTCACATCTATCTGAGCCTAGGTGGACAGTGTTATTGTATTGGTGGGACGTAGGAGGTAGCAGATACCCAATGCAATAGTCGAGGTGTGAGCAAGCTGTTCAGATACCACCATCATAATTTATTTTAATTTTTTTATATTTTAATTTTTTATTACTGGAGGTGTCCCGATTAGCTTGCGCGCACCTTAACTAATTCCATAGGGTACCCTCTACCTCCGCTAGCATTTCATATATCATACATTTCATATAATTTAATAATAAAAATCAGTTTACAGCTCCATCAAAAACAAATTCAGGTATATATCAGAGTATATACATGTAAAACTATATCATGCATTTATATCGATGATCAACGTGAAGCTAAGCCCTAACTAAATGAATTAAGCATAATGACTGAGTTTTTCGAACAGTTCACCTAAATCGCCGGCGAATTCTCCGGGATGAGTCTCCGGTGAAATCAGTCGGAGAGTCTTTTGAGTTCAGTGTTTTTTCCTAAATTCTCTCAGAAAATGAAAAGAACAATGAAATTTGACGAGCGAGACTGAGGGAAAAGCTCTGGGGTTTTATACTACTATGCGGAAAGATCGTCTACGACGCGGTCTACGATAATAACGTAGTACGCCTTTGCATATATTCGATACGTTTTGAGGAGAGATGATCTTAGCCATTTGTTTTGTTGAATTTGGAGGGAACGTTTTCGGAAGAAAGTGATCTAGTGATCTTAGCCGTCCAAATTTTGTTCTTTTTATGGATAAAAAAAGTAGCCCTATTAGATAACAAAAGGCGACTAAAGATTTGAATACACAATATTATTCGAACCTTGATATCATGACTAATAGTTTATCGTTACGGATTTTATGATAAGTTGTTGATATTAGATTTTTGGAAGGTGAATAATTAAATCGAGACGCTTTATTAATTACGAGATGAGAAGTAAAAATTTGAATACATGATATTACTCGAATCTCAACGTCATGGTTATTATTGTATTTTTGTTATAGTGAGTTATTGATATATAGTATTTTAAAAAGTATTGCAAAACGAGACGAGATATAAGCCCTAAAACATCACGAGGCTCAAGTCCTTTTTTTTTGTTTTATTATTTTTCAAAATATAATGTTTAAAGGCATAAAATATAAAAAATTATCTAAATTATATAATTTTGGAGCAAGATTGACTTTTGATGTGTTGTGTCCACACTAAGCTGGATGCCTCAGCGCTAAGCTGGATAGACTCTGATATTTCATATGAAAATTTATCAAGAAAAATCTGAAAAGGAGATTACATAATTAAATAAGCAGTTACAATGAATTAATTATACAGGCATTAATTATTTTTCATTTTTAGGAGGGTGAATAGATTATTTCCTCTTAAATCCCATCTTTTCTACAGCTTCAGTACCGGGACAAACGGGATGAGCTAAGGAATTACGTAAAAATTCAAATAATTATTATGAGGAAAATGGTAAAAATTATAAAACCATGATATATTTTCCTCTCTAGTATTTCTAAATTTAAAATTCAAATATTTTGTAAATAAGAAATTAATCATATACTTGTTTTATCCTAAATTACTTGATCACACTTTCTTGTCAACAATATAAAAATATATTCACACGATTAATATAATTTGAAATTTAACACGTTACATTATCTTTTCTAGATTACCAATCTATTAGTATTAAATAGACACCAAGAATTGACTTCGAAATGACGCCATTATTATATTAATTATACAATCTGAGAAGTGAAAAGTAAAAAAACGAAATTTAAATATAGAGGTTTGAGGTCTTGAATCCACTTATAGTAAAGGAGCTTGAATATTTTTACCTTTTTTTTTTTTTGGCATAAGGTTTTATCTGCAGAACAAATTAGTGTACAAAACAATACTCCATGATGTTGTATAATTTTAATTTCGATGTGACATTTTTAACAAATTATTCCGTTTTAACTAATTTCTCTTCCAATTGCTCCCTCAATCATATTAAAATTTATCATGGTAAATTATAAAAATTTATGTGCAAACATATGTGAAGATTTAGGCCATGTTTGTCCATAGATTTGTTTTTCCTTTTTTCTGTAATTATTTTTCGAAAACGTGTTGGCCCATGAAAATTTATAAATTTTTGAAGATTTTTCAAAAATGAGTTTTCAAAAATCAAAAAGTCGTTTTGACCACGTTTTCAAGTTTTTCTGATTTTTCTTTTCCACTCACAAAATTACAATATTTTTTCAAGTGAATTACATGTTCAAACATAATTTCAAAATTGAAATACTATTTTTTAACTTAACTTCAAATACTATTTTTGTCTTTCAAAATCACATTTTTTATGTCCAAATGCCTACTTAATAATTTAAAAAATAAATATCTATGAAGAGGAAAGTAAAAGAGAAAAGATTTAGTAGAATATTGTGGGTCATATTGAACTGAGAAAATAATAGACAAGGACATTAAGTAAAATGGAGTAGTAAGAATCGTGATTATCATGATTGTAAACTGTAAAGGTAATTAAATGATGCCAGCGGTACATAGAAAGCGACTAATAATATATATAAGATGGAACCTAGTATGTACCATTAATGCTCTTCAAAAATTATTTTTGAAAAAACAATTTTCAAAGGTTCTTAACTTATGATGACACGATGACATAAGCTGGTTAGGGGTCGATTGAAAAATCAAATCAAACCGAAAATTGATTCAAACTGATAATAAATAAATCGCGTTTTGGTTTAATTTGGTTTTAATTTTTAATTGTAAAAACAAATAAAATTTGGTATGCTTTTAGTTTTAAGCAAAAAACAACTGAAAAAGTCGAACCAAACAGACTATATAAATACCTATTTAAAAATTATAATTATACATATATATATATATATATATATATATATATGTGCATTCCTATATAATTTTTATGGTGCACATTAATCTTTTACACTCTTGATTTGTAATTTAGTCTTTGCCTAGTAATTTAGTTTTTTGCCTTTACTTTCTAGTTTGATTTATAGTCTTTAATTTGATAAGTCCAAGAATCTATTTAAAAATAACTTATCTTTAATTGAGTCCGTAAATTATTCATCATAATTTAGTTCAATTATCATTAAGATATCTTGGTAAATGATAATTTTCTTAAAGAATAATTAGTTTTCATAGTGTTATGCTAGAATATAGTCAATGGGATATGTGTTTAATAACATATTTTTCACATATTTTATTAAAAAACTGACAAAAAATACAACAATAAAACTGAGAAAAATAAAAAAATTGAATCGATAAAAAACCAACTCAATTAGATTAATTTGGTTCCAATATTTAAAAAACTGACTTAATTAATTTGATTTTCATTTAAGCAAAAATCTATCTAAACCGAACCCTGAACCCTATAAGCTGGTATGTTCTCCAACAAAGTCCTTGCAAATTATCATTATTCTCTCCATTCACCCAACTTATACTTCAAATTATGCCGAAAATTGATGTTGGTCTATAAATTATAGAGCAAGGTTTTTGACTATGTAAACTGTATTTCAGAAGGCCTTTATGTTATTTGCAAATAAAGCCTTAATCAGTCTTCATCAAACATATCACTCTCATTATTAGTGATTAGACTACAAAGATTAATGTGCAATGCACCTAATTAGCATTAGCACTATTCAACTTGCACTCAATATTAATTGACGAGAGGCAATATTTAAAAGGCCATAAACCAAACAAAATTCACAATCCACCAAAAGATCATATGATTACGAAATTACAATAAACAGTAACAAGAAAAGGAACGACAGATGAAACGTTTAATTTGTACAAAATTTTATCTCAAACCTTTTACTCAGGAGAATTTCTATTTTGATTTCTATAATGGCAAAGAAGGAACTTATATTTTGACATTAATAGAAAACTGAGCATTCTTTGAACGGTAAACATATATGAGATCAATAAAATGAAGATTCAATGTTCATTCAGAGTAGATGTGCTAGCTATTATGTGCAAATGACGCATACGAAAATTTGATTAATATTTTACTCTGTCAATATGAACTACAAGTCTACAACTAAAGAAAGAAAGTGAAGGTCTAGCCCTCATCTTGTTTAGAGTTATGTTGGGTCAGCATTTTAAGACCCAAAAATAACTGTTTGGGCTGTTAAAATCTATAGCCAACGCGGCCTGGTTTGGGCTTAATCAGGTCAACCTATTATTTTGACAGCTCTAAACTTTTAAAAAGGGATTTTTACACAAATAGTCGGTCAAATTTATTGTTTAGTGAAACTAATAACATTCGAGATTATGCAAGATTATACACAAAAGATCCTTTTTTGGCTCTCTCTTTATCCCTATATCTCTTATCCCTAGGAGGTCTTCCTCCATTAGCAGGTTTTTTCGGAAAACTCTATTTATTCTGGTGTGGATGGCAAGCATGCCTATATTTATTGGTTTTAATAGGATTCCTTACAAGCGTTATTTCTATATACTATTATCTAAAAATAATAAAGTTATTAATGACCGGACGAAACCAAGAAATAACCCCTCACGTGCGAAATTATAGAACATCCCCTTTAATATCAAACAATTCCATTGAATTGAGTATGATTATATGTGTGATAGCGTCTACTATACCAGGAATATCAATGAACCCGATTATTGCGATTGCTCAATATAGCCCTTTTTAGCTTCTAGAGTCTATTTCTTACTTCAAGATCTCTCTTACTAGCTGGAATCAAAGAATTAGTGGATCTATTTCGCCCAAAATGGGAATGGGCTAGGGTTATTAACTTATAATTTGATGATCGAGTCAATTCCACTATTATAAGTTCATTCTATACCGGACCAGGCCGGAATATGGTTATATACATTCTCATTATGAGAAGGGGTCATTCAGGCCTATCTAAATAGATACTATGTTTACATATGGATCGCTACATCATTACATTCCATTTAGGATTAGGAATACGCGTAGTCAGATATTCTTTTCATATATCTCTATTGGGACCCTAATCACCTCTTTGAGTGAATCGAGAAATAGGTTTGATTATCCATCTTTTTGATATATATCAGACATTGCATTCTCCAGATAATTCAAATCGAAGCAATTGGATGTCTAACTCAGGCCTATAAGACATGACCAATCAATTGATCCGCCTTTGTCACATATTCCATATATCACACTAGATTAGATATCATATTCATAGAATACGATTTACTTTCAAGATGCTTTGGTGGTGAAATGATAGACACGCGAGACTCAAAATCTCATACTAAATAGCGTGGAGGTTCGAGTCCTCTTCAAGGCATAATATTGAGAATGCTCATTGAGAGCTCGGATATAAGAGAGCNACGATTCACTTTCAAGATGCCTTGGTGGTGAAATGGTAGACACGCGAGACTCAAAATCTCGTGCTAAATAGCGTGGAGGTTCGAGTCCTCTTCAAGGCATAATATTGAGAATGCTCATTGAATGAGCATTCTCAATAAGAGAGCTCGGATCGAATCGGTATTGATATACCGATTCGATCCGAGCTCTTGGAATTGGA